CGCCCGGCGTGAGTTTTAAGCCACCGGGTCCGGGATGCGAACCGCGGTCGACTACGTGGGAGTCCAGCGACATAGCCATTACGCTAACTGCTGGTTCCCAGGGTGGTGACTTTTGATTTAGGCAGAAAATTTAAAAATGACTCTTTTTACCCAAATGTCCCATACATTTAATGACAGTATCTTTAGACTTTTCCATGGGTATTATACATGTTGGTGTTTTGGCTTATGATACAGGAGGGAAAAATAGCATTGATTAATATTTTATGTTTAGAGAATTTCCAGAATTATTGTTTCTCTGGTACTAAGACTAAGAGAGAGAGTGAGAGAGCGAGAGAGGAAATTTTAATGTCTCACAAATCTACAGTCAGTCATTTGGGGCATTCTTGGTCTTTGGTTCCTATCTTCCTCCTGCTTTTGTTCACATTGCATGATTCACACCACATTTTATAGGTCTCTGTGCTTACCACATTTACTTGACCAATTCTGTCAGTGCTCAAAGAGGATTTGGACTTTTGCTGCTTCTACCTAACCTAGAGAGAGTTGTTTTGAGAATTATAAAAATTACAGCTAATAATCTGTTCATTGTTGTTGTCTTTAATGACTTTGCAATGGAAAGAAACTCGAACCATGTGTCAGGCATCATTCAAGCGATTTTTAAGTGAGTTCAATTTATCTTTATAATAATTTTAAATATAGCAATATAATTTCCCTTTTGTATGTGTACAACCAGCCCTGAAGTCAGTGTAATTTGCTACAAGTCTCATCGGTGGTGTAGGGTGGAGCAGGATTCAGGCATCCTGAATGCTTTAATACTTGGTCTCTCAAAGGGTCATCTGTAGACCAGCAGCAAGAGTGTAACCTCAGGACTCGACCTACTGAACTCATACCACATATTAACAAGATTCACAGGTGATTCAAATGCACGTTTAAGTTTGAAAGCATTATTTAACTCAAGGTCAGATGAACAGGAGACTGCATTAGATGAGGAGAGTTGGGGACACCTTCTTCCTGGTGACCCTGTTTGAGTGTGATGTTGGACATCTGCTTTTCTAGCATTGAATAAATAGCTAGGAGAAAAGGTGAAGGTAAGTACTGAGTTGACTGTGACCTAGGGTATAGGTCTAATTTGGGGGTATAGGAGTACAGGCATCATTATTCTTATCAATAACAAAAACCTACCAAGTACCTTTTCCTTTGAGGGTAGCTCTCACTTGAAAAAATCATTAAGGATGCCCCTGATTGCTAACAAAGATATTTATCAAGTGAAAAATGGGAATTTAATCAGAATTTCTTGTTCTATGAAAACATGGAGACAGTGCTAAAAAAGCAAGAAGCTATTGTTGAGGAAATGTTTGATGTTCCTTATAGGTATTACATTTGTTTAGAGTTGAATGTATAATGTAAGAGTTGCATTTTTGCTTTGTCGGTACAATTTAAGGTGTATTAGAGCCCTTTGTATAATCAATTTGTACAATACACGATACCCCTGTTATAGGACTTGAAGTATAACGTCACTACTTTATGTGATTATAAGGAATCATGATTAGTTTATCTTTGCTCTGATGATACTGCATCAGAGCTTGTGACAGCTATAAGTCAGAACCCTTAGTCAGACACAAATACCCAGTTACAGTATAGTCCCAGGAGGAAAACATAATTGACTTTATGTGTGTCCATTTTATGGCTTGATTTTGAAGACTTTAACTTGGGTAAGAGGAACATTGGGTTGTCAGAAAATCATACCACATTTTTCATAGACAAACAAAAAATGTGTCATTACTTTTCTGACAACTCAATGCATATTGACTGTACAGAGTTTTCATTTTAACATTTATTCATGCATTCATTTATTTGATAGTTATTGAGTGCCTATTAAGTGCTGAGTAAATTAATTTCAAATTTTGAAAATCTGGCAATATTTACAGATCCTAAAACTGATTTAATGGAATATTTTTAGAGTTTTACATATCAAGAATAGATGTATTATTTTAGATTTTGATTGTGAAATACAAAAGCATAATAACTAAGTTTGTAGAGCATATTATGCTTCCAAAATGCTTCTATATACACCAATTTATTTAATCCTCCCATTAGTTAGATGTTAATATGTGCCCATCTTATTGAAGGATGGATAAGTCACATGATCTTATGGCCGTTTGTATCCTGATATCTTTTATTGTGTTCATAGATCATGAATTGTCACACTGTTCTGAGCATTCATGGCTGCTATTATTTGTAAAATTCAGTTGGCAACTAATCATGTTTCATTTTGAAATAATTCTTCTATTTTTATCTTAACAGTCTAAATAACATTCATCTTTTTTATGTATTTCAGTTTTATTTTTCCAACTAGCCTTCGAATCTCATGTGTGTTATATTTCTTTATATTCCTTATAGTACCTGGCACATTGTTGGCCCTCAATAAATTTAGTTGAATTTGAAGTAGGAATAAGGAAAACTACTATCCTAATTTGCATCTTACCGTAGCTTGTTTCATTCCCTGGGCAGTGTTTTTCTCTTGGTCAGTCAAGCCTGGGGCTCCCCTTTCTCCTTTTCAGATGCTTGCTTTTAAGCCATGTCATTACCCAGTAGACCATGATGCAACAAAGAGGATTTGGAGCCTGGTATACTCAGTTTTGCCAAATGTCCAGTGCTCTGATAAGACATCTATTGGCTAAGCCAACTTTGGGGAATTATCTATGGACTTAATTCTATTTGCCTGCCCCATCTGGTTGCCATGGATACTTTCTGTGGCAGAAGGTTGTCCTAGAGGCATTGGTACACAATGTTGCCTGTGGCAACAAATAGCTCAGTGGGCGGCAGAAGGAACAAGGCTGGGATGTGAGTCCAGGTACTTATGGGGAGGGCAGACACTTTGGTTGGCCCCAACAGAGGCTATGGGAACCATTGTATTCAGGGCTGGGCAATAGAGGTAGCATGTGATGTCAGGAGATGATGTGGCTGCAAGCAGGTAATTAGCATTGAGGAGATCCATTAGGGGGAGCAGGTGATGATTTGGCTGGTAATTAGCCACACTGTGATGGGGATTCTGGTGGAAGATAATCTACAGAGGTCTAGGTCATTGAAATTAGGTCTGGTATGAAGAAGAATAGGTTGAGGGCAGGTGTCAAGGGCAGTCTTGAATGAGTTTAGGCACTAGGCAAAGGGAAAATGAGGAAAAGCAGAACTTCAGGAACCTCAAGAGAGAAGGTGAGGATAAGGCACAGTTGTCCTCTGGTCAGAGCTGAGGTCAGAAGATGTATAATGGTGTAGAAAAGTCAGTATTAACCTGAGGTAGGAAAAGTATGACTTCTGATGTCTGCTGTTCTACATATTAACACAGAATCTTTAGAAATTATTTTGCTTCTCTTGCCCTGTTTCCTAATCTGTAGAATGAGGAGGGTGAGTTGATGTGCATGCCTTTGGAAAAGGCATTCTGTATTAAAATAGTTTTACAAAGCTGCATAGAATATCTTCCTCCAACATAGCCAAGATTTAAGATGCCCATTATCACCTTAAGTAGTTAGTGATAAACTGTGATTGATTTTATTTAGCCTAGTGGCTCTCAAACTGATTGACTGTGGAATACTACTTTCTCTAGAGTAGCTGTTGACTTGGTGAGGAAATCTAAAGTATAAGGGGACATAACTTGGGAAAGACTAGACTCAGTGATTTCTCAGATGTCGGCCATTTTGAGTATAACCTCAAGTACATCTGTCATTCATTTATGAGGCTGCTGATATGCAAATGACCTGTCCAGTTGAGTGGTCATGGGTGGTCCCTTCCCTTTACACAGCCTCAACTTGGTATTTCCTTATCTCTCTTTTTGAAGTTGTAGTATAGACTCAGCTGCTATGGGGAGTTTCCTATCACTCAGAACCAGAACACTGGTGCTGATTCCTAAATCATCACTGAGAGGAAAGGGTGTGGATGGTGCCTGTAATTGTTCGTCCTTCCCTTCCAGAGCCTTGGTGTTGGACATAACCAGTCTTCCCAGATCGGTATTTATGCCCTTACCAGAGCTTCTGTTCCTTCCAGAACCATTTACTTCATTTGTTATAAGTTTCTGGAAAACTCACCACCACCACCCCCACACACTTAGAGCATCATTTCTACCTCTAGGAATGTATTTTCCTCTTTCCAAATAAATGATTTACAAATCCGCTTTTGGAATTCTGCCTACTTACCCCACCTCCCATAGGGTTGACTGAGGTAATTCCTTAAATACAATCTGTTGAACATTTTGTAATCAAGAGTAGGGAAAAATACTAATTGTTTTATCAGACTACATTCTGAATAAGTAACTTAAGTACAACTTGCTTTTTTCCTTTTGTTCTTTTCAGCATCCATTTGGGAATGGAAAAATTTCATAAAATAAACTTGGAAATAAAAATGATTTTTTTAGTGACTGAATCAAGTTACGGTAATGATTCTAAGACTGAAAATATTTACTTAAATAGTACATATTGATACAGTTTATAGCATGTGTCTAATATTGTACCAGATACAATGGGTTGTCAACCAAATCAATTCCCCTGAGGAATGCATGGAACTGATGAGGTAAGACCACCCTGTATGGAATAAACCAGAATGGAGTTCAGTGTTAATCTATATGGGATTTCAGTAAGCTAAGGGAAAATGGTATGAATACAGGAGTAGAAGTGAATCTTTCAAGCTTTCTTAGTAAAGGGAGGCTCTGGCAAGATGGTGAGAGATAAATGCAAACTTGAAAGATACATGAGATTTGTAAATTTTGCAAAGAAAAGAAATAATGTTTAGATGGGGGAAAACATAAGCAAATTAAACCTCTTCAAATAAAATATATTTGAAACCCTGCAGTGTGCTAGGCAGTGTATTTTGTATCAGGGATAATGAGAACATCCTCATTAGAATGGCAAGTGAGTCTATAGTACCCAGGAATGATGAATGTGTATACATACAGCACCTACAGTGAGCAAACAGCCAACCCCAGTTTCCTTGCTTAGCTTTAATTCTTACTTCCTCATTTTGGTGGTATTGCGTAGACTCGTTAGTAGGGATCAGTTCAATGGTTGGTTTTGTGTTGGGAGACATGGCTCAATAGAGTGGTGACAGGGGAATGTACTGTAAAGGTTGTCACTGAGACATATTTGCTAGAAGAACTTAGAGATTTGAATCACTCAACTAACGAGACGATAATTTTCAAATAAAATGTGGGTAATTCTTATTTGGAATCATTCTAGGAACTGCTCCAGTATCAAGTTTGATTTGGATCATTTTTAACCATTTATCTCTGATAAGACATGGTTGGCTTATCTGGTTAGACTGTTCTTAGATAGAAGGGAAAAACCTATTTGTCCCTATCTTGGATCTTAATTTGTGTGTGTGTGTGTATGTGTGTGTATGTACATACACACATATATACACATACATACACATACACATACACACATCATAGATTAGTTTATTTTTAAGACCCACTGTGCCATGAATTCATAGGGAATAGGTTCCAGTAGCTCAGACTCCTTTCCATTGGTTCTCACAAAGTGTGCTTCTCTGGGTGGAGCAGGCTGGCCCTATGGTTGAACCCAAGTACCTTTCTCTTTGGCTTCCTTTTTTTCTGGTCATTTTCCTTCACACGTTTTTAGGAAGCTCTGTCTGCTCTTAGAATGTTTAATATGCTCAGTACGCACATTAATTCTTTGGGCAAGAATCTTGCCCTGAACTCATGCCAACAGCATGCTGGGTAACATTGTAGATCCTTCTAGGTTTGCCATGGTAACATTTGTGGGGATTCCTTTTTGAACAGTACCCATTCCCTTAATGTCCTCAATGTTAGCTTTCTTATAGATTCTCATGTGTGTTGCCAAAGGACCCACTCCATGTTTTCTAAAAGGCCTAGAGATCATATACTGGATGCCTCTCCTTCTTTCTCTTTGTGTTCATCATTTTGGTTAATTATTGGAAGATGACAGTTCTGCCCCCCGCCCCCCCAAAAAAGCTGCTTTTCCTTATATATTTAGACGAAGTCTCAGAATTTTAATTCTGTTTCATACTGGATTTGAGTACCCACAGAATGGACTTATGGTCCTATTGAGTATGTAGGAAGATCAGTCTGGTGACTCACCTGAGTTTAGATTTAGATTTTTATTTTTTCTTTCTTTTGGGCAAAGAGCATGTGTGTTTGCCAGAGAGAGACAGGGAGAGGGGGACAGGGAAAAAGCACCCACCCTCCTCCCCCATGGGGCATGGTCACGTCACAGTCCCTTCTTGTCCATCTATCCATCCTGTCAGGATTTAGGGCACACATGCTCACATACCCTAGAGTATTTCTCAAGCTGTCAGGACTGAGATTTGAACTGCACTGTTGAATGTGGAATCTGGCTCCCTTATCCACTAGGCCCTGGGGCTGGATCTAGATTTGTTTTATAATACTTACAAGAATTGACAGGCTATGGAAGAAGCTCTGTGGTTAATTCTCTTGAGGCCATTGAACTAGTTTACTAATGTAGATATAGTCTTGGTACTTGACTTGGAAAAAGTCATTTAACTTTTGTTAAATATATGTGTCCTATCTATTGAATAGAGATGGTACTATCACAGGATAACACAAAAAGGGTAGAGAAATGATACAGTAAGGGGAAATTCTGTTAAATATACTCTTTGGGTTTTTATTTCAGTATGGGTAAGCAACTGACTGCCCATAAACGTTTGTTGAATAAAAGCATGGTTTAATATTTCCACTTCTGTTTCATCCTGTGACAGAATGTCACTTTACTACAGCAAACAGATGTCATTGACATTTATTAAATTGAAAGTATTAATAATAGTTGTCACAGAGGTTTTTAAAATGTCTTTTTCTTTTTTGTGTGTTTTATCATACTGAGCTAGAGGAACATTCCTAAATCATAATTATAATTTTCTTCCCACTTTGTGGTCAAGTGGACTTTCCATTCATAGGGCAAATTTTAGCTTCAAATATTGGAACATTAAGTCAGGTTATTTCATATTGTTAGGTTTGTACATATAAATGGAAGACGGTAAAGTGAAATATTTTTCTTTTCTAGTTATTAAAAGCCTGTGTTTCAGAGCTAAGCCAATTCTGCAAAGATTCATAGGCACCAATTATTTCCGATTTTTCTTTCAAGCAGAAAACTTTAATTAAAATATATAGTTGCTATGGTTTCCTAGCCATCTATTTAAGCAATTTATCTGTAAGGATATTTTCACAAAATAAATTTCATGTTAATTGGAGGTTTACTTTCTGTCTTAAGTAGCACACCTGCACTAGTATGGTATAGTTTAAAAGCCTGAACTAGCATTGCCAGTATAGCATTTCCCCCAAATTTTCTCCCCAAATGAAGATAATATACCTTTTTTCATAAATATTAATGTATGAATTAAGGCTATCTCTCATGTCTTGCAAAGCTAAGTAGAAAGTTAAATACTTAGCCAGGCAACTTAGTCCCTGGACTCTTCTCTTTCCTGATTAAGAGGAAGTTTTTCCTGAAATATGGGAATTGTGTTCATAATTGGAAATGAGTTTTTCAGAAGGGACATGAAGAAGGTATTTATTTCAGTGTCCCCTGCAGAGTATCTTGACTGATGCTTCTGAGCAATCTTTGGAGTTCAAACTATTTAAAATCTCCATTTCCATTTAGAAAAAGGAATTAATTTTTAAAATCCACGTCATTCCTGGATCTGCTTGTCTGTTGTTATATAATCTCCAGTCCCTGCTTTTTCTACCCATACCACTTTCATCCTCAAGCAGAGTCTTCGAGGTATGAAATTGGTGGATTATCCATGATCACCTCATTCTCTTTGACTAACCAGATTACCACAAAGTTTCTAAAATCCAGTCTATCTTCTT